AAAGAGGCTGGTTTGGGTAAAGCCTCCCCATCATCTCTGCCGCCGTTTCGTCTCCCTCTGGGAAGTTCAGACACCTCTTCTTTCTCTTCCTCCTCTCCATCCTCCGCTCTACTCTCCTCGGTTTGGGTCTTCTTTCCTTTTCCTTTAGATTTCCTCTTTTTTTTCTTGAAAAAGACAGACGCAAACATAATCTAATTAATGCAAATAAATGTTTAAAGTTAGCAAGGCCATTAAGAAATAAGGCTCCTCTTACTCCTGAAGCTTTTCCAGTCTCCACCGATGTATCTGAAGTTTTTAGTGGTTCTGCAGGCTTTGGTGGAGAGAGAGCTTCATACTGCGAAAGAGGCGCCGGGTAGAGCACAGCCGGCCATTCAACACTCAAACCAGGAGCTCCCTGGAACATGAGTCGCTATGCAAGGGATCAAAATGGATTAAAATTAACACACGCTTAATTTTGCAAGACATATTTATCAGGAAAATGACTTGATTTTCCACCTTCAGTGCAGCCAGTACAGATCCAAGCTCCTCTCCTGCTCCAAATTTCCACTTCCCACCCGACAGGCAGAACTGGAGTCCCTTCAGAGCTGCCTGGACAACCTTAATAGACAGCAAAACGAGCTTTAGCTTTGGTTAAATTTGCATTTTTAGCATGTGATCTGTCGATGTAGAGGGTACCATGCAGTAGAAGAGATCATCAGTGTTGGGAGGTTTGGGCGAATGAAGTGTCTTAAGGAAAAGTTGGAAACAAACACCTCTGTACTGATCGTCCAAAGGTGGCTGACCAGGAATCCTGCAGAAAAAAAAAACATCCAGCCAACAAACAAAATAAAAACATGGCAAAAACTTTACGAAATAATAAACATCCAAATAAACAAATCCTGCATCCAACTATTTGGTACAGGGTTGTGCTGCTGGGAGTAGTGTACTGGATGGCTTGATGCAAAGACACATGTCGTTACAGCCCTACTATAGCGTTATTTAGATCGCGCATAAAGATGCTTCCACCACCACGATTAAGCATGGGAATTCTATCGTTTTGAACTCAAATTATTACACACAAACTAACTCTGCTAGGTGACTTCAAAGGGTTCATGATTGCACGGGATTTAATTTAAGCGTAAGGAGTCTGAATAAAAAATGCTTCATTGTAATAAGCTTTAATTTTTGTTTGGTTTAGAAAACAACCCATTAAAAATGGAAGCAGTATTATATGAGGTATGAAAGATTTCCTTCTAAGGAAGCCTACCTGAGGCAGATGTTGGCCATGCAGGTCAGGGCAACATGACGCAACTCAATATTGGGCTGAGACGGAGAACTGTACTGCATAATGACGCCATCATCACAAAGCAAGTCACTGATGAGCTGCGAAGGAGAAAAATATTCAATGTGACAGAAAGGTGACCAATGTTGTTCCACTTTAACAAGTCATCTGATTAGAACAAATACTAAAACTTAAGACTCATCAATGTATTTATAAAGGTCAGCCCTTATAACAGACACCGTTTAAAGTTTATA